TAAGGACATTGCATCTCCCAGCACGCTTCAACCAAACCTGGGAGCTCAGACAACCTCAGCTATGACCTCTGCATAACCCCATGGGAGTATGACAGCAGCCAATGGAAGAAATATACTCTTGCACAGGAACAGGAAGTTCATGGGCAAGGCCCAAGAGAGGGTATAAATAACCCTCACACTTCACTCCATGTGTTCAGTTGCACCAGGACCATGTGCTTGATGGTTCTGCTTCATTAAAAAACATCTTTCCAATAAGCCACCCATGTTTCCTTTGTCATTCTCCCTGCTTGGACCTGAACCAGATGGATATTTCTTCCAACGACATCTACGCCCAACTTTTAAATTTTCCTTAAGTGTCTTCCATTTTAGATTTCCAAGAATGCTACCAAACATTTGAAAAAAACTGACTTCCTCTCAGAAAGAACGATCAAATGAGGCCAAGCTAAATCCTTTTATTGCCACCGACTGAAGAAAAAGAAAGAAAGTTTAGTGAATCATAAAAAGAACGGCAAAACAGCCACTGAACCATTGTGTCTCTAAGCACCCTTGTTAAGAATGCCAGCATTCGTCAGTCCAATCCTTGCAAAAGCAGGCTTTTGTCATCATCCTAAGTCATACCGCAAAAAGGGCACAATCACTTTCCCCACTTCACAAATACCACGCCATCCCATTCCATCCCTTATAATGCTGGAGAGTCTTCCCTAATGCAAGAAGACTCAGCGACTCAACAAGGTGAACTTATTTCACCCGGCCTTGGCATTCAAAACCCTGAAAACCAATCAAATCAAGATAAAAGGAATCCACTGTCCTGCCAGTATGTCCAGTTCCCATTAACACTGCCCATTCGTTTCTGATCTCTCTTGTTTAAGGCTGCATTTGATCTCTAAAGAAGATAAATGTAGATGATTGGTTCCTGGATATTGGAGGAGATTGAAAATGGTAGCTCACTTCTTTAGCCCACAGGATGGGTATCTATCTGGGTGGAAAGAGGGAGGGGGAGAGAGATGGGAGTGGATCAGGGATGAAATCCAGCAGGTTCTGACAGGTTCTGGAGAACCAGTAGTGTAAATTTTGAGTAGTTCAAAGAACCGGCAAATACCACCTCTGGCTGGCTCCAGAGTGGGGTGGGAATGGAGATTTTGCAATATCCTTCCCCTGGAGTGGAGAGGGAATGGAAATTTTGCAGTATCCTTCCCCAGCCATGCCCACCAAGCCATACCCACAGAACCGGTAGGATGGGTGAAATCCAGCAGGTTTTGACAGGTTCTGGAGAACCAGTAGTGTAAATTTTGAGTAGTTCAAAGAACCGGCAAATACCACCTCTGGCTGGCTCCAGAGTGGGGTGGGAATGGAGATTTTGCAATA